TTCTTGGTTTCTCTGAAGGATGTGGTGGCATCTCAAGAGCTTTTAGAGACAATCTTTTTTCACCTTGCACATCTTTCCCATAGTTCTACCTTTTACCCACTCTCCAAATACTTTCAAATAATAACAATAAACAACTAGAACATTGGACTCTTAGTGTGCACAAATCGTTGGGAAGTTAAATTCCTGCAAAGAACTCTGTAATCCATCTGCACCTCTGGAGATCTGTATCAGTTCCTAACAATCAAAGCACTACAAACATTCAATGCCGCAGAACACAGATAGGTCCAACTGATACATCTGAACAAGTTTGCGTTTGTCACTTAACCCTTTTTAAGTGTGACCTTATGACCAGCCAATCGATGCCAAGAGTGACAGCACAGACGAGGTCATGGAAAGTTCTGGAGCTCAGTTTCCTACTTGTTCAGCCAGGCCTGTTTTGTGGTGTGTGTGTGTGTGTGTTCATAGGATTAAAGAAATATGTATGTGGAAATCTAGGAGCATTTTCACACCACTGCTCACTCTCGCTTGAAAAAAATCAAGTCGGTTCAGAAGATTAAAGAGGGGATTTAAAGGAAGTCATTGTGTGGGATGAATTGGTGCGGCTTTCTCTTTGGCCAGAGTGGTGCATCATGTAACATACTGATAAAGAGGTGAACTTTGTGTGTTTCATACCTAGCAAACTGTGGGAAGCAGCCTCCATGAAGTTGGAATAACATTATCCCAATGCTTCACCAATTCTGCATTCCTCAGCACGTCATATTTCTCTTGGAGGAATTGTGAACTGGGGGCAAGGCTACATGTTACTCTTTGGGTGAATGATCCAATGTAGTTGCCCTCAGGCAAAGCCCGTGTGAGAGAGCGCAAAGCGCACCCACCAAGCCACACCCACCAAACCAGTGGTTAAAAAAAAATTGGAATCCTACCACTGCTTTTAAGCCCACAAGTTCTTCCCTACATTGACAATCCTTCTAGATCTCCAAAGGTACATCTAATAATTGAAAAAAATTAATGCCTCCTATGCCAACTGTAGAGAATTGTCTTGAATATATCTTAAATGAAGTTGGCTCTGCAATGGAAATTCTACTATTTCCTTCCCTTCACTGATGCTCTGGTCTCTCACTGAACATCCAGAAGCAAAATACTGTGCAGACCTTACAGTATCAGATTTTTTTTAAAAAAAATAACCTCAAAGATACATAAATTCATTAGCTGGAAATCTGCAAAGGCAATGAGAAGGACAGCTGCAAGTTCTTCCTCTGCTAGAATTGGTGCTAGAATGATTAAAGCACAAATACTGTGCCAAGCTTTTCTACTGACATGCAAAAAAGGCATTTACCTTTTTCTTCAAAAATAAAATACCTGTAGCTTCGAAGTCTACAACCAGATAGACAGGGTCCAAGGGAAAAGACTAGACATTGCCTTTTCACTGAAGTATGTGGCTAGTTCATGACAGCTCATTTGCTTTGATAGCTCCTTTCTACACGTCATCTAATCTATGAAAGGCATTTGGTTATACAGATTTTTCAGATTCACCTATGAATGAATGATCTGCTATTAAGCAGAGGAATGAGCTAGGAGCTCTCTGGCGGAGGGCCCTGAAGGGTTCAGTGAAAATTATGAAAAGTTATTCAGTGACATCATTAACTGAAAAAGCCACACAGATCTTAAAGCTTTCTAGTCAGTCACTTGCAATAGTCCTCTGCAGCTGATCAGCACAAGAGTATATAAGGTGAGATACCTGCCGAGGTTATACCGCAGGATTGTTGTCTTCCATCCTAAACCCCAAGCATCAGCAGAAGTTGTTTAGCAGATAAGCGGTGATGGCAGGACTTCCTGGAAGAGAATATTTGAAAAATATCACTCTTGGGGAATATGAGGGTGTATATTAAGTTGTGAGGAAATGGCAGGGGCTGTGCTGACTGACACACACACACACACACACATGTGGTTTTAGAAAGTTTGTTAATGTTCCCCCAGCAATTCCCTTCATCCAGCCTCACAACTGTCCCAAATAAATCCAGCCACAAGGCCAAGGTTAGTCCACAAGGCAATGGCCAACAATCCATAAAACAATGGGAAGTTGCTCCAACAAATGAGTCCACCAAACAAACTTAACTCCACCAGGCCAAACTGAAACACACCAACAAGAGCTCAGTTGGCAAGACAAGTTCAAAGTGTCACAGGCACAAAGTCAAGCTGGAAGCACAAGGAACACGCAGCCATAAAACAAACATGTCTCCCTCTGCCTGCCATTATAAGTAGCTTCCTGATGCAGCCCATCAAGACGGACGGGGCCTTCTCCTGTGTAATCTGGCAGATCTCTGCTGCTCCTGTCTTTTCTCTGCCCTACGTGCTCTTGGATCTACAATGGAAGGCAGCTCCTCCTCCTCCTCTTCACTGACTGACTGCCCCTACAAGCTGTCCCCAGCCAAAGCCCCCTGTAAATCTCTTTTGGCTGGCCGTTCAGAGTCATTCATTAACCCAGTTCCTGACATGCCGGGAATGAGCTTATCCTCCCTCAACTCCTTTTTCCCCAGTGTACCTTGGAGCAGGTGGGCAGGACCCCTGCTGGGTCTGTTCCTTGATCCTAGTGATGAAACTTGGGGGTGAAATCCCTCGCTGAAGCCTCCCATTGCCTTGTAAAAGCTCTTCGTGCTGAGACTGAGGCTGCCGAGAAATAATCAGAGGAGTCATCGAAAGGAGACAACACAGGGGCGCTGTCAAGTACAAGGAACCAGAATGAGACCATGAGTTGGTTATTTCTTTATTGCTGCACGCCTATTTACAAGAATCTTGGCAGACTGATTCCATTCTCATTGGAACAGCCAGACAAGGGTTTTAGGGATTCTGGGAGTGGAAGGCTGTGCACTTCCTACAGTGCAAGGGCTATAAGCTCATCCCCCTCTTCACACCTTCCCCCATTCTAGCTAGAGATTCCATCACAGGCACCAAGAGAAAATGGCTGTCACAGGGAAGGACATTTGCAAAATCATTCCCATATATATAAAAAAGTAGAGAACAAAATAACTATTAAATTGTGCAAACGTGCAGCATTCCAATAAACTGTAATAAAATGCTGGTATTTCAAACAGTTTTTAAGAGCATCTTTTATTTCAGTCTTAAATGGCATAACATATTTTAAGAAATTCCATTTTAGGGAAAGCAAAAGAAACATGGCGAGGTGTTTCCTTGACAATTAACTTGACTGGGTGCTTTTTGTAAAGCAAAATAAACCTCCTTTGTAAAGGATGTATTGCCTTTGTTTTTACTTTGAAAAGGAAAATGATTCTGTACGTGCGCCTGTATGTTGTCACACATTCCATCTCCCCATAAAATAATCCATTCTTTTTTTCTGGGATAAGGAGGAGTCGTTCTCCTGGCTTGCAAATAGTTATTGCTCTTTGACCAGAGCTGTCAGGGCCAGAGAATATATGGGCTACTTCTGAGTTCTTTCTTTCTTGTTATTTTCCTATAGACAGAATCTTGCCAGACTAAAGCTATTACTTACTACTTACTTACTCCGAACTCCTAGAATCCAAGCTGAAAGGTGGTATACAAGGGTTCTACAGATGGTGTCAGCTTAGTATCTTTATATATTCCAGCAAAATCAGATTAAAGGGTTTGCAGCAATCAATTGAATCCAAAATGTTGATTAAAAATCCCGTGACTGTATTCCAAGCAATTTGGAGAAGTTGCTCAGCGAAAAGAAAGTCATTTTATTAATGATGGTCATTATGTGTTTTTCTATTGTGTAGAATTATGAATGAAACCAAAGAAAAAGTCCTTATAGAATCCTTGAAATTGTTTGAGAATCCCAAAGAAACAGTTTTATTAGTTCCCAGATCCCGCAGTTGCAGGAATTCAGTAGCAAAAAGGTGATTTTAAAAAAAAGGCAGAGGAAAGAGAAGGAAAAGACATTTCCCTCAATATTTTATCTTGCAGTTCTGCCCAGTGGTGGGATTCAAATTGTTTTACCACTGGTTCGGTGGGTATGGCTTGGTGGGCGCGCTTTGCCTAACGGCGGCGTGCACCTTTGCTTAACGGCGGCGTGCACACCAGCAGAGACCTGCAGCGCCAATCAGCTGAGTGCCAGCATTCCAGCAACCCTCCATTCCAACCAATAACTCCGAGACAGACATCTGTCAGAAGTTCCTTTTATTTGGATAGTAACTGGCACATCTGTGGAGTCCCGAATCTGAAAGTTTCGGGCTTCCTTGCAAAAGTCAAAACTACAAATCCATCCCCTGACCCTTAGCCATCGTCACATCAGATGGTCCAATCCCCAGCTGTCCTAAAGTCAGATTCCCATTTCATTATGCGCCACACCCAGTGACCTTGAACCAGAAAAAGAATTTTATTTTGTCTAACTAGATGGACTCAAAGGAATTCTCCACGACCCTGCTTTCTCAGGCCCAATTGTAGCAGGTGGGAGCATCAAATCTCAGTATGGCTTCGAAAGCTAACACGGAGTGGATAAAAGCGCAGGAGTTGGGTAGAAGGGCCAATCCTGTGCTTTTCTCTTCTTTCTCCTCTCAGTTGATTTGGAGGATTTTTTTTTTCCTCCTCTCAGCTGATCGTCAGAGGCTTTTTTTACTACCGCTTTGACTGAACTAGTCCGAACCGGTAGCATACCACCGCTGGCTTTGCCCAAGAAACCTGATACCATGTAATGTGCCAGCTCTTTGGTGATGAGGAATAGGGAATTCTGGGTGTTGAAGTCTACACATCTTAAAAGTTGCTGAGGTTGAAAAACACTAATCTAGAGATGATTTGAGACTCGCAATAACAAAGCTGGGGAATATAACAGCCTCGATTTTGGTTTAGCTTTTAGCGTCTGGAACTAGAAGTAATTAAGCCAATTATGGTATGTGACGTTGGCCCTTGTGCATTACCCGATTCCTATGCCTTCATGTGTCATGAGTTTAAATCAAGGGGGGTGTTTTTTTTCCTTTGGAATTCCCTGCATTTGTCTTCATGTCTGCTTTTTCTTGTCCTGACAGCTGGATCAAGTGATCCGTCAGCGGAGCCTTTCCAGTTTGGAGTTGTTCCTCTCTTGCGCTCAGAAGCAGCTGAACTGTTTGCTGCGGGAAGAAGTCACAGCAGCAGAGACAGAAGGAAATGATTCCATAACATTGGTCACTTCTCTCAAAGATGCTGGAGATTAGACGGAGAAGTAGGATCAATCAGCCAGTCTCGTATTGTTTTGGTTAGGTGTTCAGAATCATACTGCCCTCCTTGTAAAGCTAACAGTTGTGTTCTCATCCAGCTCCCCAAACACAACAAACCCTCTGAGGTTCACTCAAAGATTCCTTTATTAGGAGCGACAGCAGCCCCGGCAAAAAGTTTCTCTCTCACCTCCGTCCATCCGGCCAGAAGATGAATAGTTATCTGCCATACCTATTCATCTCCACCCCCTGCCTTTTATCCCCAGAGCTAGAGTGGGGCTTTGCTAGCAGCAGTAGCTCTTCTATCCCAAGGACCGGCTCATAGATTTCCACTGCTCTCCTCTCCTCTGCCTTCTGTGCATCCACGCATCAGGCACTGGACCCAGATGTTCCTCCTCTTCCTCATCAGCCACCTCCAGACCTGGGGCTGTTGACTCTCCATCTGAGGACTGATGGATGGCCCAGGCTCCACCTCTGTCTCTCTCTCTCTGCCAGCTCCATTTCCTCTTCCCCCTTGGAGCTCTCAGGTTACTTTGATGCTGATCCTGACTCCTGTGCCTCCTCCTCCTCCTCCTCTGATTCGGCTACTGGAGGGGCCAGTGGCCAACAGGCTACAACAGGTTATGTGGAATCTTGGCAAAGCTAATGAATGCCAATGGCTCCCACGTAGTTTTAATAAGAAATGCAGTCATTGGCTAATCTCAGTAAAGCAGCATATTCCCAGCAACAAATTGGGTACACTTCTCCTTTATAAACCTAAGCTTATTTTTCAGATATATATATATAACGTTGCATGGAGGCAGCATTGCCTTTGTTATTTATGTTATACTTAATCGGCATTTATCAAATGGAATAAAAGAACTTTTAACCTCTGAAATAAAACGAGCTCTCATCCAAATTGAAAACACTAATTGGAGATGTTTGAATAACAACTGGTATTGAAACACCTTATTATTTATTTGCATCTGTTCCGAAATGGCCTGTTGCATTCTCCATGTTTGTGTCTTTTAATGGAAAAAAAAAATAACCACATCTTCTCAGTTTCATGGTTTGCCTTAAGATTCCCAACTAGCTGGGAGGCCAAATCTGTTCAGTTATTACTTCTATTGTTCTTAGGATGATCACCTTAATTCATGCAAGGAAATAACAATACTTGAAAGCAGCAACAGATCTGGAAAATTGTTTAGTAGCTGAAAAAGCAAAATTGCCCAACCTTGGGAACTTGGAAGACATGTGGACTTCAACTCCCAGAATTCATTCACTCCCTGGACGCATGTTGACTGGGGAATTCTGGGAGTTGAAATCCACACACCTGAAAGCTTCCAGGATTGAGTAACGCTGCTCTAAAGTACATTACGATCTGTAGGGACAGTGGTATCCCTTAGACTGTAAAATCAGCTCCATGAAAACTTTTCAGATTTCTGATGACTCTGTGATTTATTGGGAGTTTGGAGAAGATGTTGAATGTTTTAAGCTTTTTATGTTTCAGGGGTTTTGAAGGGATTTAATGATTGGGTGGCTTTTGGATGCACTCTGGGATACTTTCTTAATTTGGGTTGTTCCACACAATAAAACAGACTGCTAAGAATTGGCCACGTTTGTGGGCAAATTCCAGTGGCCGCATCTCCGAAGGCCTTGGAGCTATATAGGGCAAGTTGGCCTCTGTGTGGCATGTCCAGCCCGGGTTTCAATGATGCAACCAATAGAAATGGAAGAATCTCTGAAATTCCCATGGCTTTTTACAGATGTATAAAAGGACCTAATAGTAATGTAATTATTTACGTTGGGGTATAAATTTTAATTGTTTTTTTTTCTTGTGTTTTGCAATATATTATATGCTAATGAGTTACGGGATGAAATAATGGACAACTTAGTGTTTTTATGCTTGTTACTGTGATAATTATTCTTTACCAAATAATCCCGTGTTCTGTATATTTTTTCAGTGAGTCTTTTTATATGTACGTATGAAGTGTGTTTGTGTGGGTGCAATATGTATGGAAAGCAATAGCTTGTTTCCTCATGGGGAAAACTCATGGGTTTTTTTTATTTATTTATTGGGGAAACAAAAAGGGGTTTAGTGTTCACCCAAATTCTTCCGCTGATCTTTTAGTAAGCCTAGAAAGCAAAGAACTGTCCCCCTCTGTACTCAGACATCTATTTTTTTATTATTATTATTATTATTATTATTATTATTATTATTATTATTATTATTATTATTA